TATTGTTATAAACTCAGGAATTGCATTCAGCCTAGTTTCCGTTGATTGCTGAAACACTGAATGCATTTTTTGTACATTTGACTTGACTCTAATTTCATTTTGTATGATTTACATGCCTTTTCAGTGAAGAGAAAATGTATTAAATATGTAATGGATCATCTGCATCACATGATTGATGTTTGAGAAGGTCAAAATTAGCTAATTCTATTCATCTTTCAAATGTCGAAACTAGTAAACAGACCGCCTGTTAGTAATAGTATTCATTTATTTTCCAAGTGGTTTATAAATCAAGCAAGTTTCCTGCAGGTATATTAAGACATCAATTTAATTTTAACGCTGAAAAAATATTTGAAATTGTCTAAATAGTACAGCTATTGTCTACTGCATAAAATTCCATCCGTTTGTTTACGGATAAAAAGACAAATCTCGACATGCTTACTTTATAACGCTCTCATTCTTATGAAACAGATAGGCTATTCAAATGAAGACTGAACTTCCAGTTAGCCTAATTTACCGAGTGGTCAGAGGGGATCATACTCCATCATAGCTGACTCGCAGTATTGACGGATATTTCATTAAGGCCCTGTATTGACAGCCAGATAAATGTTCCTTATCCTCATCTTAAGCAGCCTCTCTGCATCCGGGGTTTTTGCAGCGGCAGTGCAATCAATTGAACCCTAACCCATTTGTCTAAAGCAGTTATCCAGAAGAATTACAGCAGCAGACCTCATCAGCATCCCACATCCTTCCAGTCACAGACTTGTCTCTGCATGTTGCTCACTATAAAGCTACATTTCACCCTCCACACAGCAGGGACTTTATCTAACCAGCCCTTTTCAACAGTTGTGAGACTGTGTCTGAGCCTCAGCTGAGCGTGGAGCCGAGGTCTAACCCTGATGTGGATTATTGTCAAACGCATTACTGTGGAGCCCTAATGCAACTCACAGCCATAGAGGCCGGCTGCTCCACTGCTGGCCATCGATTTCAGTAGCAGGGAGAAAACAACTGGATTACATAATTCATGTGACTGACTGATCCATTTGTAGTAGAATTCACAAAATAGACTGATATGCACACAAGTTTTGCAATTCAAGCCATTTTAAATGATGCAAAACAAGTTCAAACTATGCAAAACAAGCTGCCACTGGATTTGCTCTAAAAGTGCAGTGATTTAAGCCCCTTTCTTTCTGTCGCTGTCTGTCTGCAGCTCTTGACATGTTCTGTCAGGTCTGCATTACAACCAGTGATAATGATCTGTGACTCAACCTTTTACACTGCCATGCTCATGTTATGATCCAGGTGTGTTTGAACATGGTGTGCTGCAACACTTGAATTACTATCTAAGAAACAAATATTACTTGTATGCCAAACCGCAATCAAAAATATAACGTTTTAGTCTACCACATAGCACTTTTATCAGTACAACTATACTACACCACGTTGTATTTTAATATTACAGAATGATGTTGTTTTAAACCATGACATTTAAAAATAAATCCTCAATAAATTATATTTGGACGGGATTTTGAGTCATATAAGAGACTTGCACTCTAAATTCAAACTGCCATTGTTTTGTTTTTTTACATTTCAGGACAAAACAATAACTTTATATTAAAAAATAACAGGATTCAGGGTGTTTTCACGCTTCAGACAGTTCCCCAGTCATTTCCCAACGAGCCTCTTTCCACTCCCTTTCGCGAACTTAATCCGGATGAGTAGCTGCTTCGGCGGAATTTGAAACCAATAGTGATAAAAAGCTTACACGTTTTCTTTTTATCTCGGTGACATTGCAAAGGGCTTTAGTCTGCACAGAAGAGGCTTGGATAAGCAACATTTAGGAGTGCGTAAACGTAGTAAAAACTCACATATCTGCTGATGAGGGTCCGCAGAGTGCTGAAATCCATCCCCATCCTGTTCCTCTGCTTCTTCCTCGTTTACAAAAGGTGACTTTACTGTAGACGCTAACTTCTTTTTAATTCTCCGGTTTTGTCCATGACTTTTCCTCCCTTCTCTTCTTCCTGAATAATAGAAGAAGAAGAAAAAGGCTCGGTCCCGACAAAGCTGCTCCAAACAAATGCAAACCTGAACTCACCTATAGGGACTAACAGGCTTTACTAGTAACAGGAGGAGCGTGTGTGTGTTGTCAAAGTCAGTTCATGCAGAAACACACAGGTGGGCTGCTCTTCCTCTCTCCCCCTCTGTGTGAGTACTAGTAAGCTTCTTGGCCCGGACCAAAGGAGCTTTTCTCTCATCTACGTCACGAGCAGCCAGGTGGTGGCTGAGCGTGGAGGTGAGCGCATGCGCACTCTAGTGTTTTCGGTGCGTAATTGATTGGAGGTTTCAGTTAATTAGGCTACTGATTTGTTTGTTTGGGGGGCGTAATGTTACACCAAAGACAACATTAGGAATAACTTTAGTTAATTAAATTGAGGAAAATGCAATGAATGATATTGCAAATCATTTACATGGTTGGTTGTGTGTGTGTATGTGTATTTTATGGGGTGTTATCGAGATTCGGACTCCCCAGTGGTGCTGTCCATCCAGACGGTGCTGAAATGATAAAGAATAACATCGAATGCACTTTTTTTTATACATTACTAACATTTTTAAACTATCATCTTGATTAAAAAAACGAGATAAACAGAACGAAACTATTGATAAACGTTACGTATGAATAAAATAAATTAAAACAAAGGCTATAACATTACTCAAAATTAAGCCATTTTAAATATATATATCTTAATTATTTGTTTTAATACATTTGGCCTCTGAACTATGAACTTCAATTCTTCACTACAGAAAATGTGCAGAGTTTGAACTGTTCTTATTTCCAGAGGTATTATATAAACTATAGTTGTGAAATGAAAATATAAGTGATTTTTAAGTCATCAGTTTAAGTGTTTTTAGCTGAGGTCAGAAGGGTCAGAACTACAAAATGTACAGTAGTTTCTTTGTTTGTTTTCATTCATTGGTCCATCCTCTGTTTCCTGGAGACGCTTTTCGGCGGGTTCTGTTGAAACACCAGCGTCACAGTCACCACAATAACAACCACCATATCCGGTGGTGACCTTCAAAATAAAAGCCCTAAAAGTCAAACTCAAGACTACACATCTTTGAATACATTTTCAGATGTAATAATAAGACTGTCTTCATTTCCTTCTTATATATATGTTGTCTTATTAATTTCAAAATGCCAGTGGCTATTTTTACATTAATAAATATAGACAATAATCACTGTTTTTCTTTACATTACATGTCACTTGTTAGACACTTTTATCCAAAGCGACTTACATACTCAATACTGTGGACAATCCCCAGAGGAGTAATTTGGGGTGAAGTGTCTTGCCCAGGGACACAATTACATGCTGACTGCAGTGGGGTTTGACCCTGTGAACCCCCTGATCCCCAGAAGTGCAGACAAAGTAAAGAGAATAGACTGTCATATATTTATATTCATTAAAAAAAAAACTAAGTATGCACACGTTATTATTAATAAAAAAATACGATACGAAAAAGAAAAAAAATAACAGATAAGTACACCATGGTAAAATAAAATGGTAGTATTTATTAAAAAAAAAAAAATTGTGACCATATAAAATTAAAGAAGTACCGGTTACTGTTTTCCGATTGTAAATAAATTGAGAGAAAAGATTAAGCATATATTGCATGTACTAATAACTAACACGTTATTTTGTTCGGCTCTACCTGTGTTGTTTGCTATCCTATTGACAACGTTTAGTATTGCCTTTGAGACTATTGTCTATTCCCGTTGTAGCCCGGTAAGCATGTCTCCCGGAATGCTGTTCAAAAGGCGAGTGGCTCCAAACGACCCCGGTCTCGGACTCTTTGACGTGGCCGCCAGTATGCTACCGAATTTAGCGGGAGTGCTTACCGGGGCTACAACAGATGCGTAGTCTCGGCTTAAATCTGTAAAGGAAATAGCATCACAGGCGTAGCCGACACACTTAAAGCCCTGGTCAGGACTGTCAGAAATTTCTATAGCAAATGACAAAATTACTCTTGTCATTGTGTACGTAACTACCTCTCCACAGTCTCGCTACCGCGACGGTNCTGTTTTTCTTTACATTACATGTCACTTGTTAGACTCTTTTATCCAAAGCGACTTACATACTCAATACTGTGGACAATCCCCACAGGAGCAATTTGGGGTGAAGTGTCTTGCCCAGGGACACAATTACATGCTGACTGCAGTGGGAGTCGAACTTGCTACCCCAAGATTTGAAGTCCATCACACTATCCACTGAGCCACAGTCACCCGTTCCTGTGGTTTCTTTATTAAAAAGCCAGCTCCTGTGTGGTTTGATTTCTATAATAGAGAAATAAACATTTGTATTTTCCTTAAGTAGACATTTTACAGTAAGAAGAGTTGAACAATTAGCAAGAAATCAGATTAACAACATTGATGGTATCCAATCATTTAGCTGTAAATGCTTGACTCACACAACTGGTACTGCACTATACATTATATTACTACTTAAGTATAAAGTAATTCCAGTTTCACTTGATAATGTTAGCCTTATTCATTCATATCATCTGTCAGGTCCGGCAGTGGCTCAGTCAGTAGGGGCTTGGACTGTGAGCAGTAGGGTCGCCGGTTCAAGTCTCCGACCAGACCTAAATATAGAGTGTGGACTTCTACTTAGAGAGGTCCCAGTTCACCTTCTGCCCTGCCTTGGTGCCCTTGAGCAAGGCACCGAACATCCCCCTTCCCCCATTGCTCCCCTGGGCGCTGTACAATAGCTGCCCACTGCTCCTGGTACTAGACTCCTGGTAGTAGGATGGGTTAAAACAAAGCAGGTAATACATTTCACTGTGTGTGCTGTTAGCTCTGCATGTGTGACCATTAAAGAGTGTTTCATCCATCCCAATTATGAAAGTCATGCAACAGGTGTTCCATGCTCTTATTTTGAAGGAAACGTTGCCCTATTGTCGCTCCTATTCTTCCTGCGCCATGCTGGCTTCACTCCACTTGTCAAAATGGCGTTGTTCGTGGTAACAGACTTGAGTTAGTTCTTATTATTCAGTTATTGGGAAACATACGCAGCGTTAGACCCGACAGTATGGCGACCCTGGATCAGAAATCACCCAATGTGCTTCTCCAGAGCCTCTGCTGCAGAATCACGGGGAAAAGCGAAGGTAGATGAGCCACCGTAGCATGCAGGAGCTGTCACGCGAAACCTCGTTGACAAAAATAGGCACTTTGCTAATAATCGTTATATTACTAATCAGACATATTTTCCACATAATTTAAATTAGTTTGCTGAATCTGTACCCCCTACTGGATAATTCGGCGTGTTAATTGCACCCCAGTAGGTTTAGATTTGTATAATATGCTCAACTTTTAACACTGCTGGAGCTTCTGTGTTTGGGACGGAAAGTGGTAGAAAAAGAATGAAATCTATCTGAAGTTGAAGCTGTCTGGTCTTTTGCACATATGCCGAATTGAAGAGAGCATGATAAAAACTTATCAAAGGGAATTTAGTGGAAAAAGACACTCTAAAATATGAGATCGACAAAAAAATAGAATTGCTTTGAGTTTGGTTTTACTTTAGCTGTGGCGCGGTAACGTTAGCTGTCATTCAATGGGCTCGACCAGATACTGCACATCACACTAAACAGCTTTATGACACCTCCAGCTGTAAATATAAAACTGCAAGCTTTGGTTGGATAAAGCAATTAGCATTTTAATTAATCTATCTATGAGTTTGCTAATCTGTTAGCTGTCATGCTGACCAACACACTGTTACTTGCAAACACTGCTAGCTGCAGGCCGCTGCTGGATGCAGAGATGCATGATGGATCAGAGATAACGGAAAATAAATCATTATGATGCTTGTTTTTCAGGCAATTTAACTGAATTGCAGATTTTACTGCATGATCAAATGCAGCAAAGCTTTGCAGCCTGACAATGCTTTTATTTTTTATTTATCCAGAGATGATTAGTGCCCCATTATTCACAATACTTTTTCAATGCCATAACACATTTCTATCAGGTTCCTACTAGTATCTAGCTTTTAAAATCTTAAACTGTTTATTCACAACTTTTTAAAAGGAACATTGTGAACTGACTGTAGCAAATTTAAAGAAAAAAACTCCTGGTCAAAACAAGTGATGGACTTAAGAGTGCTGCCATGACTTTTACTCATTACCTGTTTTTTTATTTCTCCAGCTGAAGTTGCCCACCAGTTCCAGTATGCAGTGCGAGTCATTGGCAGTAACTACGCCCCCACTATTGAACGGGATGAGTTCCTGGTGTCAGAGAAGATCAAGAAAGAATGTAAGTTTGGACAAATATTATCCCTTACTGTTCACACATTCATATTATCCTTTACTTTACGATTGTAGCTCGTTACAATACTTTACCTACATTATATTATCCAGTTTTTTTCTCATCCACAAGCAAAACTATCCCGTCTCTGTTGCTGTCTGGTAGTTTTTGATAAGAGAGACCTTTTGCCTTTAATGTTGGAGCCATCCCAGAAAAAGTCAAAAGCTTTATTGCCCCATAACAGCACATCCAAGTAGTTTTATAGTTCCCAAGGTTGCACTATTAGTGGGAATACATCGATCCATGCTTTGACGCAGAAAATAGCGCAGCACTTACTGTCCAAAGTGTTTATTTGGTGGACTTATGGGAACTTTGTTAAAAGTGTTTGTTAGGGTAATGGAGTTGCTATAAAATGTGTCTTGTCAAAACAAGAATAGCTGTTCAGCCTGCAACCTCATGCTCCCCAGCTAGTCTTACTATAGAGATATGCTGTGTGTGTAATGTTTTTCCTTTTAAATAATGATGCTGTTGCAGTGCTGAAGCAGAGGAGAGAAGCCGACGCTGCTCTGTTCTCAGAGCTGCATAGAAAACTTCAGACGCAGGTGTGTACCACTGCAGGAAACCCTCTGAACTGTAACAGGACATCGCTCACATACGTTATTATCATTAGTAATAGATTGTAATGAGGTTTTGTTTCTGCTTCTGTTGACAGAGTGTTTTGAAGCATCGCTGGTCTGTTCTCTACTTGCTGCTCAGTCTCTCTGAAGACCCCCGCAAACCGCCCGGCAGGGTGAGAGAGACACACACACACACACACACACACACACACACACACACACACACACACACACACACACACACACACACACACACACACACACACTTCCTTATTAAAAACAAAATAAGTGTGTGATACTGTCTTGATGCCCTTACCTCCTCCTCACCTCATGTCCCTGTCCTTCCCAGGTTGGAAACTATGGAGCACTCTTCGCCCAGGCGCTCCCCAGAGACGCCCACTCCACCCCGTTTTACTGCACCCGGCCTCAGAGCCTGGCCCTGGGCTACGGAGAGAGGAGCGCCGGGCTGTCGGCCAGCATGGGGACCAGCGGCATCTCCAGCCTGGGAGTGTACACACTGAACGGGCCCACAGTCACACCACAGTCACTGCTGTCTGGGTGAGCATCTTCACATGAGTTTCTGCAAAGACAAACCTGTTGAAGACACAAGCTAACGTTATCTCTGGATTATTTACATTTATTAATACTCAGATTAAGCATTAATAGAGATGACAACCTTCTTAACATCTTCATAACTGAGTTGTTAGCTGTGTTCACCTGAAAGGCTCTGGGGAAAGAAGAGTGTTATTTATCCATCGGATGCTGTAGAAACACTCTGAAAGCATCAATTAGCACCATGAAATAAACGTGCCTCTTATAAATCTGTGTAATGAGACATCAGAAGGCCATTTAGGTCCATTTCTCCGTATTAATAATGCAGGAGTCCTTCTGTTACAAATGACCATTGAGCTGTCCGAGCTCACCTTTTTTAGACATGAAAGCAGAGATTCCTCTAAACATGAAAAAGGTCCCAAGGCATTGCATTAAAAATACACAGTAATTGTGCTTTAATTATACAAAGAATTGCTTTCTCCTTGTTTGAGTTCATTTGCTGTTCTGAGGGCATCGTCCAGCAAAAGACCTCTTAATGCAGACTATGGTGATTGTAGTGTTGTGTACTAAAAACCTGTTTCAGCTAGACCTATTGATGTTTAATGGGAGCAGCAAATGAAGCTCATCAGAACACAATGTCATACAGATGTTTTGAAAGTGGGCTCAGTAAATGGACGTGAAACATATTACATTAGTTATCAAAGGACACAGTAGTTCTGGGGAATTTAACAGTTTGTTTCCACTTAACGAGAATCAGAAAGTAATAAATGCCTTAAGACAGACATTCCTATTTCTTTGGTTAAGTCTGAATGTGAAACAGCAATATAAGACTAATTGTTTTTGTGTAATTGGATCAAACAACATAATAATGATCCCATGGACAACCACGGAACTAAAGTCAGCAGATGGGGGCACCTTTTTTCCAATCTTTGTCTGTGGGTAGGCCGATCAGAAAATCCTGGATCTACATTATAACAAAATGTGATTGAGACCCTGGGAGTAACAGTAAATGTGTGTGTGTGTGTGTGTGTTACAGTCAGCCCCCTCAGTCTGCAGCCGCTCAGCCTCTGGGTGCCCGGCTGGCCTGGGCTCTTCCTGTCAGCTGTTCCTCTTCCTCTGCGTTGGCCCCTCTCGCCACTCGACCGCTCCTCGGACCTCCAGCTCCCTCCTCCAGAGTGGTCCGACCTCGCAAAGACGGTAAGAGACATTTTCATAGAGAACAGAACGTCATTAATAATTTATTTGTCATGACGTAAACTCAATTCTCTGCCCTTGTTGTCCTCAGGCGAGGTGAGCGAGGCGGCGCTGGTGCGGGACATCCTGTACGTCTTCCAGGGGATCGACGGCAAGTTCATCAAGATGAGCGCCCAGGAGAACTGCTACAAGATAGACAGCAAGGTACGTGAACCCGCACGGAGCAGTCGTGTCAAGCTTTTAATGGACTAATCAGTTCAGAGCACACATTACCCAGAGTGCAGCTCAGGACATCATCATCCCTGATCTACCGTGCACTGTAGACCCCATGCTGGGTTGTGTAATGAAAGACACTGAATATGATTATTTAAATCTATTACGGAGAATTTGTTTCCATTTTGGACGTTTTTGGTTTTGAGTAAATGATATTGAAACTTGTTGTTGATCGGACTTCAAAAGAATAATTCAACAGATCAATATAAAGCTCTTTGGCTCCGAGGCTACATCGACCTCTCCTTTTTTCTGTTCTGCCAATTTCTTTTATCCCCCTCTCATCCTCCTCTCTTGTTATCGATGGGAGGCCTCAGATGTAACCTGTCCCGATCCTCTCAGCGGTGCTAAACTTAGACCTGTGGTCAATCTGCTGTCACTGCCTGATGGACAAGGAGACACTGAGAGCAGGAATCAAAGAGTCAAGGGTGGAGATATTTTTGAAGTCTTCCATAGCCACTTACTTTCCCCTCTGTAAAGCTCTCTGGGTAAGAGGTTTTGTTAAACAGATAAAACATTAATCTATCCTTAAATGTTAATCTTCCTCATGCGGATTCAGAAGTCTGTTAAAGCAGGATTACAGGAATCCGTATGAGCTTAATCTGTCGGAGGTTTTCAAATCAATTTAGTAACGGATGATGGTTGTTTATTTACATTTATGTCTGTCTATCTAGTTAACACCATCAGCGTTACGTGTGTGTGTTGCTTCTGTGAAGCTGCAAGAAGGGACACAAAATACTTTTTTTTGCAAACAAACTAAAAACATTAAATGTAGGTTTATGACAAGATGATTAAATAAACAAACAAATAGTGTAGTGTGCATGTGTTGTAATGTGTGCTGCTCCTCACCAGGTGGTGCTGTGTAAATCCCTGAGGGACACCAGCAGCCGGCTGGCAGAGCTCGGCTGGCTCCACAACAAAGTCAGGAAGTACACCGACGCCAGGAGCCTGGACCGGGCCTTCGGACTGGTCGGACAGGTGCGCACGGTTCCCCAGGTAACACACCTTTTCAGGTCACGTCCTCCACGTATTTTAATCACTTCGTCTTCCTCTCATAGAGCTTCTGTGCCGCGCTGCACCAGGAGCTGAAGGAGTACTACAGGCTGCTGTCCGTCCTCCACTCCCAGGTACACACATCTGACACAGGAAGTTCATATGATAGAAATAAACTAGATTAGAGCTTTAATTGTGTGTGTGTGTGTGTGTGTGTGTGTGTGTGTGTGTGTGTGTGTGTGTGTGTGTGTGTGTGTGTGTGTGTGTGTGTGTGTGTGTGTGTGTGTGTGTGTGTGTGTGTGTGTGTGTGTGTGTGTGTGTGTGTGTGTGTGTGTGTGTGTGTGTGTTGTAGCTGCAGGTGGAGGATGAGCACGGTGTGATGGTGTGCACAGAGAGCAGTCTGACTCTCAGGAGGCTCCTGGTTTGGATGTACGATCCTAAAATCCGCCTCAAAACACTGGCGGCACTCGTCGACTTCTGCCAAGGTGTGTGTGTGTGTTTTGAGATTTTGTTAATGCATTTTTGGATCTCAGTATTGATTTTTGACGAAGGCAACCAGGCTTGACCTCAGCCTCTCAGCGACTTAGTTTGTTCCTGAAGCCTCTACTCTGTGTGTTCAGGTCGGAAAGGAGGCGAGCTGGCGTCAGCAGTTCACTCTTACGGGAAGACGGGCGACCCACAGATGAGAGCGCTGGTCCAACACATCCTCAGCCTGGTGTCCAACCCCATCCTCAACTTCCTGTATCGCTGGATCTACGACGGAGAGCTGGAAGACACCTACCACGAGGTACACACACTTCCCTGTTGATTTTTACTGGTCATTTCTGGAACATTGGTTCTGACGCTTCACCCCCAAGAGAAGGAACATTGCTGAGGAGGGAGGGAGGGAGGGGGAGTAAAGAGAGGACAGCTTCTTCAATGAGGAGTGATGAGAGGAGTGTAATGGAGAGCCTGGTGATGGATGCTCCTGCTTTACTTCCTCCCTCCCCCTTTCTCTGCGGCTGTTTCCCTCACACACTTTATTTATGTGTCCATTAGTCAGTGTGTGTTTAAGAACACCCAGACAAAGTTATTGCGCCTTTCAGGAGGGAAATTACCCTGTAGATCACACACTAGGGCTGTCCCCAATACCATTTTTTGGGCTCCGGATATTCGGTAGTAATCAACAGCGAATATTTGGATATTCGGCGCGCGCTTCAACACGTGTATTTCGGTTTATTCAAGGCATTCATTTTGTTATTCTACAGTATTGTTGTTTTATAGTTATTTGTTAATGTAAATAACCCAATTTATGTTCTTTGAAATTGAAAAGGATATTGTGTTTTCGTTGCAGTTGTATATGTCTTAAAGTGGACCTATCATGCTATATTTGAATAATATAGTGTAGGACCATACCTATATAAGGCATATTTATACTTTTTATTTTTCAAAATACCAAACAGATCATGCATTTTAGCCATTCCTCATTTCGCTCAATTGAACACTGTCTTTGCATCATGGGCTGATTCTGTGAGAACAGCACCATCTACAGGCCTGGCATATGTACTACAGCGTCTCCAGCGCTTTCCAACGGCAATGTCCGTGGCTGTCTCCTCCTGATTGGTGGAGTTGGCCCAATAGCCGTAGCGCCACTTCTGTGACGTCATAGAAGTGTTCAAATCTGGATCAGTCTGTATCAGATCCGTTGCAGCCCCTTTTTAAGAGATTTGGGTATGGAGGAAAATAGAGAGGGTTGTGTTTTCTGACACTTGGTGAGTTCCCTGGAACACCGGGGACACATGTTCATGTAGAAAAGACGTACAAAAGTGCATTTTGCATGATAGGTCCCCTTTAAGTGTAATTTGGCTTGGCTTCCTATTTTGTATGGACATGCTTTTATTTTGAAGGAGAGTTAACGCTGTTAACAGGAATCTGTTGTTGCTATGGAAACAACGTGACGGACAAAAGGAGTGGAGATTAACGGAGAAAAGTCATATCTACATATAAAGACGGAGAAAGTAAAGGAGCTCTTACGTTGGAGGTTTCAATAAATTCAATTTTTTAAAAAGAATATCCGAATAGCGAAATTGAAAACCGAATAGTGGGCCAACAGTATTCGGATATTCGGGTACAGCCCTATCACACACACACACGGTTTGTTAAAACATGCAATAAACAGTACTTGGAGTAAATATGAGCTTTTAAGGTCCATCAAATCCCTGCAGTGTTAGTGAATGTGATTATTTCCTAAAAGATATCCAAGCACATTATCAATAAATTTTAACATGATGTTGTAGCATTGAACAGGACATGGCGACACACACACATTTTACCTTAAAGTACAAATATCTACTACAATTATTGCTTCTGCGATCCATATTTCAGCTACTTGACAAAAATCGGTATTAAAGAGAAATAGTTTGTCGGCTCTTATTTCAGCTAATAGCTTAAGGAAAGTGCTCTGAGAGATGGATTCATGGCAAAGCAGACCGTTGGAGTCAGCACACATAGAGTACGCAGACTTAAGCTATCATCGTACCCTCTGAAGTAAATGGGCGATCTAAGTGAATGTGACAAAGAATGAAAACCACACCATAGAGCTACTTTACTCTCTTCTGAAATACTGATTCTATTTGACGTCTCCCCGTCACAGCGTTCTAAAGTCAATGTATTTATTTGTTCTCTTTTTTTGTAGTTCTTTGTAGCATCAGATCCCAACGTGAAGACAGACCGTCTGTGGCACGACAAGTACTCCCTCAGGAAGTCCATGATCCCCACGTTCATCACCATGGAACAGGCCAGCAAGGTACACACAACCAACACACCATCACACATCTCTTACGGAGGCATTTCCAAAGAGCAAAGCCTTAGGTTTAACGCTTCCCCGCCTAAAACTAACTACAGTAACTCCAAAATCTCCTCCCGTGAGAGTAGTAAAAGGACATTTAAAAGGTGCACATTAGGGATGTCCCGATCCGATTCCGATCATTTGATTTTGACAATTTGCCGATACCGATTTTTCCCGATCCGATCTTTATGCAATGCATTAAGAGAAAAAAAAGCATTCAAGTCCCTTAAGATTATTTTTTTATTTAAAGGATATTCTATCCAACATGGATATAGCTTCTTTCTTTCACAGCAGCATTGGATCAGTTCAGTTGTGCAGCATTGGATCAAAACAAAATAAAGCTTATCAGTACTCGTTAGCTTACTGCTACAATTAGACACTGCGCCCTGCCCACTCTGTTGCCAGATTTGAGAGAAATAAGCAGGTCTATGAAAACAAGCCCCAAAGAAGCAACACATACATGATGTTGTGTAATTTGAAACCAAAACTAAGGCCTCAGGATGACTTTAAGACTTGAACATGGTCATTTTTGTTTTGTAACATTGAATACAACAATTAAAAAAAAGTATTTAAAAAAAAAATACAAAATACAAAATCCCGATCACCGATTTTTTTTCTCCCGATTCCGATCTTTTGAAAATCACGTGATCGGATCGGGACATCTCTAATCATGACACAGATAAGACGAGTTTATCATCCATCATCAGACCTCCCAACGTGACATGAATCTGGAGTCTCGCTGAACTGTAGCGGCAATACAGTTTGACCTTAAGGGGGGTCGGGTGGACGTCTGAGGCTAAATGAGGACGGGACAAAGAGCTAAGGATAAGATAATGTTTTGTTTTAACATCTAATAAAATGAATATGTTTGGTTTTGGTTAAAAAAAGGTGGTTCATTGAGGATGTAATGATCCACAGAATTGGGTGTTGCAGATAAATCCAAGAGAACAGACGTATCAATAAGACGTGTTTAACTGAAGTGTATCATGTAGGGAATCAGAGCAATGTGACCTTAGAAGTTGGCTTTGCACGTGAACATATATATCCCAAAAAGCTGCATCATGACACAGATAAGAGGAGTTCATCATCCATCATCAGACCTCCTGACGCGCTCTGCTGTGTGTGTGATGGATTGGACTCTCACAAGGACACGTCAATGTTTGCTGCTACCTGTGAAAACCAGAAACACATATATAACTTTTATCATTGACGGATGTTTAGGGATGAATCTGCACAGCTGGTTAGAATCAGTGTGTATCATCCTTCTGATTTGGTGTCTACTTCCAAAGAGTGCGTTAAACTGCGTGTTTGTAGCAAAAGGTTTCGAGAGAGTAATTTGTCTCACAGTTGCTTTTCATTCCACTTCTTTTTTAAATCTGAAATGCAAATGTAGAAAAGAGCAGCTTGGTTGTTGACCTCAAATGACGACTCGTCTCCGATGTGTTCAGACGCCGCCTGAGGGCCCAATGTTCAGGATGTCCTTCAGTCTTAAAAGGAATCTGCTGAAGTGTCCTTGAGCAAAACGCTGAGGTCCTACGGTCTCATCTTTACAAAAGCACAACTGCATCGTCCTCTACGTGATTAACAGTCTGTTATTCTGGATTCCCACGCAGCAGAAGGGTGTGAAGCTCATCAGAAACACTTCCAGCAGCGCATCGGAACATTCTGGATTTAACTGGAAGTAAACAGAAACTAAACGACGTCAACGAGGCACGGCAGCTTATTAAGCAACGTCTAGAGCAAATGTTCAGAAGATACAGTCCTGTATGTAGAGAGATCTAAAGGAAGGATACTGATTCATGAAGGGAAACAGTGGAGGGTATGTTACAGAGTAGAATCCTTTATTGTCATTATACAGGTACCATTCGATGAGTAGAGCTACTCCTTTTGTTAATATGGTGCCATTAGAAATACAAAGAACAAACAAACAACATTCAGGAGAAGACAACATACAAACAACAAGCATTCATACTTCAATATGCAGGGATATATCGGCAAGTCAATTGCTAGAGTTAGTTTAACGAAAGTGAAAATAATAAGAATGCTAACATGCTAACATGCTAACGACACCTGTATACTGATAGTCTGCTCCAGTCTGCTGTGTGTGTGTGTGTGTGTGTGTGTGTGTGTGTGTGTGTGTGTGTGTGTGTGTGTGTGTGTGTGTGTGTGTGTGTGTGTGTGTGTGTGTGTGTGTGTGTGTGTGTGTCGGTGTGAAAGTCAGAAGATGGGGAAAGGAGGCAGAAGACATCTGGCTAAAGGCAAATGTTAATTCAAGTTTTCTCTACTATTTTGTGCATGGGACTAAACATCCTGATCACTTTAGCTGAAGCATCTGTGGCATTACTGGGAGCTGTTCTCAGGTCAGTGGAAGCCCTCTTATGCAGGCTCACAGGAGAAGCTTGGCAGAACCAGGAGTTGCCTGCTCCTCCATACTGTCATACTGCTCCTCATGATGCCAGGGAGTGTGAGCCGCAAGCTGGATACACACAGCCTGGTGACGCCAACATGTGTTATACACAGGTAAGGTGTTGTTTTGTTTGTAGCATATCCAGGAATATCAAAGTGGATCATAATATCAATGATCATATTATGTCCACAGTTTTCTTCAATGAATATGACCAAAGCAGAGCAAGGTAAGGGAACAAATATGCAAAGGTGTGTTGAATTTCCAAGAGAACCATGATGTTATGTCCCCCAAATCTCATGATTCTGTCCTCTGCACAGCTCCTTGTCTAAGTGACCATGACCTGTCCAAGCTTGTCAGCATATCTCCTCTATTCAAGACCCTGCAGGAGATACAACAGTCTTTACAGAACCTTACAACAACTGGCTCGGATCAGCATCTTCATAATGGTACAAAATAAGCATCGAAGAAAAATGTAACTTTTAATGAATTACACAACAAATTACAAATGCCTAATGAAGCATTTTTTCATATATTTGTATCCGCTACAGAGCATTGTGTCGTTGATGCCCAGAACCACGATAGGCCTCTAGTCCCGACTGCCCTGGACAACCTCTCCCCTCAACACTCGGCTGTTTTCCTGTTTGGTTGCCAGGTGATGCAGTTGCTCGCAGACTGCCCCCTGTTTCCTTCCGCGCTCCTGCTACTGGCCAAGTCGATCCCTGTTTCCTCATCTTCCTCTAATGAGGCTTTACTGGCGCATTGTTCAGGGGACTTTCATTTTGATTCAACCAATCAAATCCTTTATCTGTCAGAGGCAAAGCTTCAGCATGTGGGACATTTCATCGCTACTATTCTGCAGGCTATGGCCTACATAGCATCAGGTAATAAGATCGTTATTGAAGATAGACTTGAGACCCAGTCATTGTTTGGCAATAGCCATGTAATACAGTTCAACAGCTTTGGTAATCATATTTGAAATCACAAAGTATGTAAGCCTCTTTGGAAACAATATATGTATTTGTTGTCTGTACAACTAGGATCCAAACCTCAGGGCTTTATGAAAGCTCTCCATGAGGCCATTTCAGCTGTAAGCCTTCAGCTGTTGAACATTTCTTTCAAATGGAACACAGCAGAAGTAAGTATGAGCTTTTAAGGTCGCACACATCATTCTCTTACTGCATGGGTAAGGGAAGATAACTTTGTATGCTTTCTTTTTACAGTCGGAATTTGATGCTTCAGAGAGTCACGGTGCATTTGTTGAGGAATTTCTTAACATTAGAGTTCCCACTGAAGGGCTGTTCACTGAGCAGCTGTTAGCTAGCAGGTTGGTGAGAAACATTAAAAGCTTCCAGCAAAGTGAAGTATTCCATTAGATAAATCATTTAAAAACTTGCTACCTTTGTTCCAATTTAGACTTCAAAAATATAAATATTTCAAGTTAGAGCAGCTCGTCACAAACCTGAAACGGAGTTCAACTGACAGCACGGACACAGGTAAGACAATTGTTGATTTATTGTAAGAACAAAGAAAATAGTTTACAATATGCAAAATGATAACATGATAATTTCTCTGACCTAACCATTCACAGGATGGACAAAACATGTATACATAATAAACAAGTACTTTCCTAAACCTTAGCAGTTGTGCAATAACATTATATTTGACAAAAGCATCTGTCACTGCAAAGCAAGTATTTTAATATGGCAATGGTACTAGATAGATTCTATGGTTGTTAAATTAGTTAATTTATGCAAGCTTGATATGGCATATAGTCAATATAGCGCCATTAAAAACCTGATGTCAGGAGAACAAACACATGAACCTTGACCAATATAAAAACCTAAGAAGGTCTGACTAGCAGTCCACTTATTTCTTATGCTTTCACACTGCTATTCCCATCCTGCAGCCATTGATCCATCAGGCTATCTTGTGAAACGCATGGAGTTCCTATATTTACCAAATGTAATATACTTTTATTCTCCACAAAAAGGCACACATACAAACCAATAAAGACTTTTAATTGTGATTTCAAATTAAAGTCAGATGTTTTTCCCTCACAATATCTAGGCATCATTAAACCGTTAATGGCAGTTCTGTGGCGGAAAAGAGGGAAGCAGATTTTTACCTCCTTCGTCAACTTAAGAGAAATGTCCAATATCCCAATATACACACAGTTCAGGACTTCAATGACAGCATGCCAATCAGCAATGAAGTTGTTCTAGCATTAAGGGGTTGTGTTGCTAGGTACACAATAATCATATATTATTGGAAGATTGACTTATTGTGTCTCTTAATTTTTCAGAATCTAAAGTCTTGTTTGATTTCTGTAGGTTTACCACCAAAAGGGACACCAATGCAGGTATCAATCAATTAGAAATCCTAATCTTAATTTAGGGTATAGTCACTACCCTCATACCCCTCCGTGTTACGTCATCATCTCCTCCTCCTCCACAGATGTCCTGCATAGAGGAAGAAATCGACCGCATGACTGAGTCTTTTCTGCAGCTGAGTGTGCAGCTGCAGAAGAGAGCTCAAATGAGCTCATGGCTGAAGGAGAGAGAGAGGAGTGCTGGCAACCATTCTGCGGTAATAAGCCGAATATTTCATATTTTTATTACATAATCAAAATAATTAATCAAGGTGGTAATTTGTGCTGGGAACATTTTAGAAATTATCTTTTATAATTGAATTGCCTACAAATGTCAACATGCTCAAATGAACCCTGATGCTTATTTTATTTTCTCACTCCTCTATATTTTATAGCATTTCATAAATATGAATGATATATTACATTAAAGCCTTTAGTGGATTTCAATCATTCAAGCCTCATGCTGATATGCATGTGCTCCCATTCAGCCCTGACTAAAGAGGGGCATGCGTGAATCAGTATTAATAAATTCAGTGCCTGCATATTTGCATTTTTGTGTTATTTCTTGACACAGTGTAAGATTCCCTTACATATTGTTACCACACACCGTCTCTAATACATTCTCTAATAATGTCCCTATGCAGAATGCAACACCAACCAGCATGCCAAGCCTGAGTCGTAGTGGAACAATCCTGCTGGAACTGAAGAGGCGCTATGTATCACAGCGCCTCAATGAGCTCCAAATCACATTAGGCCACATCAGACAGAGCCAGCAGCATGACAGCAAGTCAAGAGACATGACAATAAGCAGCTCACAAACAGACAGCATCACCACTCAGCAGGGGAAGGGGGATCTTTACCCTGGCATAGAAGGATGCAGTCCTGCTGGCGGCCAGCGGAAGGATAGTATTCAGGCTAGCGAGGATCACAGCCAACAAAAAGAAAAGAGCAGAGGTCTTGGTAACTCTAAACTGGAGAGTCATATTTCCCACCAGCAGACCATCGACTCTGTTCAAAGACACAACCCTGATACATTACTGGACTGCCAGATGCTGGAGAGCCAAGATCAGCTGCATTTTAATGAAAGCATGATCACACAAGACCACATAACGGGACACACAGATATTGATGACATGTGGGAGCCCAATGATCAGTTACTGGATCTGAATGTAAATCAATCCTGAGGAATGTGTTTCTCTAGCTTTTTGTGCCTTGTTGTTGTTCTTTAAATAGCTTTACTATCTATGTACAGTTTAATATGCTGTCATGTTTGTTGAAGGATGACTCAAGTGACCTCTACTCTAAAAAACTGCTGTTCTGTTGTGTTCTTTTGAATTATCTGTGACCCAGAACAGAAATAATGTCTGGCAACAAGAGGTGTGACACAATCTGTCATCTTCTCCAAACTGTTTCTCAGGCAGGATTTAATACCAACCCTTCCGACAGGCTCTGTTCATTACCATATTATAATTAAGACAATAAACTTCAGCTTAATAAACACAAAGTGACACTTGTGCTTCTGTGTTGGTTCTTGTTCACAACAACCTCCCCCTCTTGTAGAGGTGAAGACCCACATGTCCTCATGAATATTTAATATTTAACTCGAACAATTTTTTCGCTGTTTCGCACACATGTAGGTCCTCTAACCTTTCTTCCCGAAGCAGTCGGGTTCAACATTTAATTCAATAGCAGTTACTAGACGTAAAATCTTGTAAGAGAAGTCTTTGCTGCACAAATGCTGACTTCTTCTGCTTTGGTGGTTTTTCTGACGCACTAAGTTCTGGGTCTTATAATAGAAAGTAAGTATTCCTAAACAGGGCCATGAGCCAACTCAGAAGGTCAGAGGGAACAAGTCTTCACTTACTATCAGTGTTAGCTCAGAGCTCTTTGCCAAGTCCCCGGGGTTGAATCTGGCAGTGCCCTGTAGCTGTGTGTGTGTGAGGGGGGGGGGTGTGGTTCAGTGGCTGCCTGAGAATATCTGCCTTATCAATTAGATTAGCTGCTATGTGCCGCTGACGTGGCCTGTGTGTGTGTGTCTGCCTCACAGCAGCACATGCCATCATAAAACTCCAAGCTGAGATTCTCCGGAGCCGTGTGTGTATTTTTGTGTGGGAACATGCAGTGGTACAACATTATGCTTGCTCTAGTTGTTTAGATCCACACAAATGCTATTTTTAGGAAGACTGCCTTTGTGTGATGTTTGTGTGATATGTATACGCATATAAAGTATATGAATTAAAGACAAAATATCTGACAAGAAGTATTCCTCTGATAAGAAATAGTTGTATAAAAATATAAGCTGCTTAGGGGAGGGGAAGTGGTTTGTCACAGCAGGCTATATGCTTGCATGCATCTGTTCGTTGCAATTTTGTCATGGGAAAACGGAACAATGTTTTTTCCGTCTTTCTTTTTTGTTTTATAACATATCATTTTTATCATTGTTTATACGTGAGAAAATCACCACAGATGCAAGCAATGCAAATCATTTATTATAGCAACACCCAATATAGCAATGTACATCGGCAAATGAGATCTGTATGAATACCAGTGATGATGGATGTTTAGATAGCTTTAAGAGGTTTTTATAGCAAGCTGCAGAAGATTTACATCTCCAATTTCCAGCATGTTTCATCCATGACTGTCAGCTGTAATCATGTTCTAATCTGAAATCCTTCCAAATCCCTAGAAATCTGCTCCACGCAGTGCATCCTCGAGGAGCACACAGACACACACACAGGCATTTGTTTACTGCCTTATGTTATATGCTGGTAAATGCTGTTGGTTTTGTTGTAGGGGGTAAAGTTTACCCTCAAGTACTGCTGTATTCAACACCTGCTGTGAAAGCCCTTACAGCTGAACACACAGCAACACTCGAAGAGTAAAAACATATTAATTATTCATCTATTTATTTGAAATGCTTTTCTTTTTGTTGAAAGTAAGTCAAACACATTGGATGCCTGTAAGGCTTTGAGGCTTCCTGTTGTCCTGAGTCTGTGGCTTGTCACTAAGCAGGCCTCCTCTAGTCACCATGGTACTGCATTACTGTTGCTATGGTTTCCTTATCTGCAGGATGTGGTTCAACCAGGCCTACCATATTTAGTATTTTCCTCCGAGTGCCGGCCTACCGCTGATGCTGACAGAAACACAAGAGTGCACTCAGATGCCTCTTTGCTTTTCTTTTTACATTAAAAGCTGCTCCCTCTAAGCATTAAAACAACATGTTGATTTACTCGGTCACAGTTCTCAGAATCGTACAGCTCCAACACAGCGTGTCTTCATTTTCATGTTGATGTTTTACAGATAGATACAAACTAATTCAAACAGAAATGTGCAGGGTATTTCCCCAACATGTGCCTGAAATTCACAAACCATTCATTTCTATGCTTCGTGAGAGTAATCCTTTCATAATAACAGACAATGACTCCGAGATTAAATATGTGATCACATGTGATGTAACTGTGAGATTATTGTGGATCGTTCAGGCTTGAGGATGACGTATCAAGGGTTAATCTCGGCATGTTGACAAATAACATTAAACAATGCAGTAATCCAGTTGTTTTGATCAGTGATAAAAAGCAAACCAAAGAAATGGGCAAATATAATTTAAAAAAAGCAAACATCATTGTTAAATGTGTTTCTATACATTATGATAATAATACATTTACACTTGAGATACTCAAATTCAAACGCCAAATATAAGTCCATATAATTATTGACATTTGAGAGGTTTTCTTTGTAAAGAAGCAGTTCTCTCTAGTGTTTCATACAGAAGCATATTTATTAAAGATGGTTGAAGATCGTTATAGTGTCTATAATAAACTGCAAGTGAATCAATATTGCTTCAGATGTTCTGCAGGTCTACAGAACAGAGAGAAACAGGAAAAAGAGCCAGATGTACCCCGTCATTTCAATCTGTTGCCATTTGTATTGCAGCCTTATCACATCGTTTAGCCTTTACAAGAGAGGCGAATCACTGCAGTTTCAGCAAGACACAAAAAATAGCATATAATTAAACTGTTCGACAGTCACGTCTCTCCTCCACTGTGTTGGCGTGATGGGCAGGAATATGTATTAACCTTTTTCAAATAAGCTTGTGACTCATTGTAACTACATTTGTAAAAGTAATATTTTTTTGGAATTAGGTTTATCCTTCAAAAGATTAAAGAAAAAGAAAGGGACATTTTGCTTGTGCTCCATCATGTAGCACGGAAGAGTTTGTACCCGAGATATATTCAATGATATAGATTAAATATCATAGAAAAGGCCCTTTCAAAGCTAAACTCCCAGATGATACAAGATTATTTGATTAGTGGGTTGTGCACAGTATTTTATCAGCTGCAGTGAGCCAAAGATCTGTCACGGTTCGTCCCACAAGACAACAGGGTTCGGATCCAAGTGCTTACAACGAGCGGCAGGGAGGGTTTATCGATGTATTCAAGATCAAGCCTTCATGCTACAAGAATCAGTAGATTCGATGATGGCAAGTTGGCCAGGAACAAAGATGCTGGGCTGCTACTTGTAGAGCTAGATCTAATCAGAGGTAAAGGGGAGCAGGTACATAATAAAGTAAAGTGTATTAAGAATAAAAAAAAGCTTAAAAAAGACGGTACAGTACTATAAGATAAAATAGTCTACCTTAAGAAATGCATACTTACAAAGGGGGACCAATTGACTGTAATCCAGGGTAGAAATCCTTGCATGTCTTATTCTAATTTGCATGTGTGTGTTGATGCATGTAAATGAAAAGTATGTATGCTTTGTATACCTGCAGCCAGACTATTCTGGCTACAATAAATGACTTAAATACTTCAATAGAGCTGTAGGCCTAACACTTGTCCAATCCTCTTTTTTTGAATTAAGGAGATATTGCGCTTGATTCAGTATGATTAATGATGCTTAGCAAATTAATATTCTGAATGAATTGAAAGAGCTCTGCTATTATCTGCTCAACACGATTATATTACACAGGGCCAAGCGAGTGTCCTGTGTTCTTCTAAAGATTTAATAAAACTAATTTGAATTTGGTTTACATGTTATATAATGAAACCCTGTGTTTGTTTAGCTCCAGCAGTCAAAAGAAAGGCAAATGCAAACAGGCTTGCATAATGAGTTGGTTAGGCCATCGCTAATGACTGTAACATGGTCATCATGCACATTGTAGTGTAGGAGGGAGTGACTCACGCATGCGTATCATAGCCTCTGCTCAGCTACCGCTAAGTGACTGCTGAAAAACAAAGGCAGCGAGTCGAGGCTGCGAAATGTCATCAGTCATGTTTAAAAGAGGAAATGGACTTCAAACAATCAATGGTGTGGTTCTTTGAAGGGTGAAATAAGCGAAGTGTTATCACTGCTCCTGCTGTTTCTTCGAAGACTCTCGCAACAGTAAGTGACTAAATCGGCTTTTGAGGATCCACAGGTTCCTCCTCGTTGCTTGTTTTCTTTTTTCTTCTGTGTTTCTCGATGGATCTGGACTGAATGACAGTCGCAAGGGGACTGTTGTATCGCCAGTAGCCGTCTCGCATCACGGACTTGTTTATTGCACCCAGTGGAGTGAATAATGAAGTTAGTGCTTTCTAGATAGATGATGAATTGCGAGTCAGGGGGTTATACGAAGCCTTTCTTTCGAATGAGCATGTAGGGATTTCAGAGCCATTTTTCAACAACTTTTGTCGTTTTAAATCCCGCCTTTGAACAGACAGTTGGATTTGGATTTTCCGTCTCGAAGAGGGAAGTTTCCTGCGCGCTCGCCTGCCGAGGAGAGGCGCTGTCCGTGGTCCTGAAGTCATTTCAACAATCCTGTTATCTTGGCTCGTGTGACAACAACTGAACAGTTAAAGGTGACACTGTCCACCAGCAGCATCAAAAAGAGTTTAATATGGTAACTCAAACCAAAGTTCATCTGCACACCTTGGTACTTTTGTTGTTTGTTGGTAAGTATAACTCTCCCCAATGTTCCAATAACTTTTTGAAATGTGACATTGCATGCCCTGTTGCATCCGATTTTCACTTACACAGATGCGTAGGATAATAATCCTGGGCCTGGTCGATGGTTTGTGAACTCTCCAACTGACCCTGAACTCTAAACCCACTTCCAAAGCAGTCCCACTGCTGTCTGCACAGTGCAACACGTCAGCATACAAGCAAAGTAAACATGCATTTAACAGAAGACACAAGGGATAACATTTTTCCCTTGTCTTTTTCCTCTCTCTAGTCTCCTCCCCATCTGTCTTGATGTTTATTTGCCCTCTTTTCATGTGTTTGTGTGAGCCCTCACTGAAAAAAAAGATGAGATGGAATCGATGTTGTCACTGTCCGCCCAGGGGGGCTTTAGGTTATATAAGAGCACGGGACCCAGCCCGGCATCAGTCACACAACCATGTGGCGAGATCACTCAGATTACTGCCTCACTTCACTTAACAGCAAATGTTTATGTTTATTATCCTCTCAATTATGTCCCTCCCTTTTATCATCCACTTCCTGCCTCCCTCTAGTTATTATTTCTCATGTAATGCATTTACTCATCAATCATTTATTTCCCTTATCCCTGCTTGCACACAACACTGTCCTCCTTCTACACTGCCCAGTGTTCTTCATCCAACACTCCCTCCCTCCATGTACTCCTTCTGCTAGATAATACTAATGGGCAGAGGCCATCATTAGTGCTTACTGGTCTGGATGATCTTGGATTTTCCATCAGTGTTGTGACTCAGGTCTCTCCAGTGCTCAGGGAGCTGTATAATTAAATGTGTTGCTTTTTTAACGCTTACTGAGTTTTGCAGCTTGCCAAAGGTTGGATTTGTTGTAAGCACAGAGTTCAAGTGCTGATAATCTCAAGAAAGAGGCCAAATCTATACAGTTAGAAATGTGCCTGTCAGTGTGCATGGTTGTATTTTCACAGTCATTAAATTAAGCCAATTTCACTGGAAGTTTGTTATATAACAACATGTTTTAATCCTACCAAGAAGGGAATTGGGAATTATAACTTTGTCTATAGCACACTTTGAAATGCTCTTGTATTTACAAAATGCCCACTCTGAGGCGACCTGTTTGGTTTAGTGAGTAATGAAAGCTCAATAGGAAAACTACTTAAATAAGTTGTTTATACTTTTTATTTTCCATTTGTATTTACTGAAAAACTAAACCTTCCTTTTAAAGCTTCCCTCCAGAGACCCATAAACATACACTGACTCGCTTTTCATAAGGTTTCATCTACAACAACGTTATGTTAACTTGTTAAAAATAGTGGCATGCATTGCTTTCCCCACACTGATAAATATAATCTTTGAATATGTCAATATTTGTTTTATCTCCAGGATTCCAAGTTTATTAGGATGGCTCCTATCTCACATTTAGGTTGAGAACAGATACACTTCTCCCTTCAGCAAACACATACGCAAACATCCTCTAGTGTCAGACACTGTGAATACATCTTTCTGCACAGTAAAGCTGAAACATAAAGTAACAATAAGCAAAACAGCTAAGAGGCACTTGAAATATTTGACTGAGCTTTCCTCAGAGTTGCGACTGAGTTTAACATGTGTGATATGTTTATTCTCCATCAGTCCATCTGAGCCAGCCAGTATGTGTCGACATCCCGTCGGAGACTAATGCAGTCGTGGGGAAACCCATGAAGTTGACTTGCATCTACTGTTTAAAGAGGGACGAGCTAAAGTCGAAGACATGGGTAAATTGGTACTTCAAGCCATATGAAGAAGAAAATGACATCCCTCCCGAGAAGACTCATGTAAGTTGTTGCTACATTATTTTTTATAATGTGATGTAATGTATATGTTTATACTAGTATGTCATATCATTTTCGATGTATTTATTGCATGAATGCTTTTCTTTCCTCTCTCCTAAGATATACAAGTTTGATATTGACAGTCCAGTAGATTTGGATGGACCATATAAGGGCCGTCTGAGATGGGATGGGACCCAGGACTTGCAAGATCTCTCCATTTCCATCATCAACGTCACCTTTAATGACAGTGGCGTCTTTGAGTGCAACGTAATACGAGAGTTTGTGTTTGACTCCTTCAATCCCTCGGTCTCAATCACCAAGGAAATCAAGCTGACGGTGAAAGAAGAAGGTGCGGCTAACAGTTTCCTACTTTTTCCCACATTCTTCCGCCCTGTTCTGCGCTCAGGTTTAGCCTTATGCTTGTTTGCCATTTCAGTACAACTGAGTGTTTGGTCTAGCTGGGGTTGTGTTGAGACATATCAGTTCAGCAGGGTTATTTCAGAGCTGCACGTGATGTTTTTCAGACGTCAGACTTGTGTTTGCCGTTTAGTGATTCTCAGTCAGTGGCATGCCCCCGTGGTGATACTAAAAATACACATTTGTCCCAAGAGATGTACAAGATAAATCTGACACACAAGTTGTGGAAGCTTTTTCCCCAATGTACTGCATCACAAATAAGTCTTATTTCAACATTTTTAAATTAAAAATGCAAGAAACTTACCAACAGCCTTCAAGTAAATGTATAATTCATATTTGGCCTTAAAATAAACCCAAACCAGAGGAGGTCCAGCAGTGTTTCAGTAGTTGAACTGGGAAATGTGTAATTAATCTGTGTACAAAATATAGATATTTTAACTGATTTTTTCTCTAATGCATTTCATTTAAATTAGTTTTCTTTGCAGATGCAAGACTGTTTCAGTAATTATTTCCCAGCAATACTGCCTCACCCAGTATACTGTATGCTGGAGAGGTTCGGCTCAAGCGTGTTGATTCAAAATCCCTTGCGGGAGAAACTCAAATGTACTGAGTGTTCTCTTTATGATGTACACGCCCCTCCTTCGAGGTTACATAGTTGTTTTTCTGACTTTTCATTATATATTTGCAACTCATTGTTTTCACTAAGTGATGCATTAATGTGAGGCAACTAACAACACCACTTCTCTACCCTTTGTTGCCGCTGTAGTTAAAAAGGAATAATTGTGTGTCTTGTTTTGTCTGCCTTCATTGATCATGAAAGCTTTCCTCTGTTGTCAGTGAAGGGGTTAATTCAAAGCCAACTACTTTGCTATCTATTATAAGGGGTAATGTATTCTGCTTCCCGAATGCTTGGCTTGCTGAATGTTTCATTTACCACATTGATTAAATATACAATACAACATGTATATTTGGAACTACTTTTCAAAAATGATACCTTCTTGCATGTGGTATATAGTTCACTATCAGAGGCATTGGAATATAGGCCGACTAGTTATCCCAGTGTTTGCTTTAAACTGGAAAAAAAGATGGGTGCGAATTTGGTGTGATTATCCTCTGAAGTGCAACTTTCAAAGATATACTTTATATGTGGTCTTTTATACATATCAAAAAGCCTCTCCTTCACATCTCAAACAACTGTAGCACCACATTTCACAAAGCCTTGAGCCAGTGTACTGTACATTAAAGCTTGGGAATCATATTACTATAATGATGTCCATAGTGGTAGAATGGATTAGTTTACGGAAAACGTATCAGCGCTTTCCCATCTACATTACACTTAAAAGGATTATATTACACTAATAGCCTCTATTTGCAGATACTGCAGAATCAAATCAGTGAAAGCTGTAAACAGTCGGGTCAGCAGGCTTTCTGGAATTTGGTGCATGCACTGGCATAGTGGTTCACAGTGAAATATAATGATCGAGAAATTAAAGATTTTGAAGGATAGGTTACATTTTTTCAAAGTCATGCTCACATTGTTTTATTGAAACATTCTTTTGGCTTACTGTTTTCATTCCTCTTGCACGTACGGGCCATTTAAAATAATAGTGATCGAAAAAATCCACAGCCTTCTTTTGCAAAAAAACATTAAAAAGTTTCTACAAAGCAAGAAAGCTTAAGCCTTCTTCGAAAATTGGCCTTTAATTCTCTCTTATACTATTTTTTCACTACATCTTTGTGGAACCAAAAAACGAATTTAGTCCTAAAAAGAAAGTAACTCGGCAGGCAAAAAGTGGATTTTTTTCCCCCCGCACTGTTTCAATGTTTATAAAGAGATATGAGCATTGTTCGAAGACACAATTGAAATAATGTGGACTAATTGAATACAATGTAAAGATATTTTTTAATAAGTCATACATTTGTTTGCATAAAACCAAATGATGAGCTTTAATATAAAATGTGTAATGCACTGAGAACCATTCTGACTTGACATATCAATCTTAGTTCATATGTAAGGGTGCCCTGTGGAGTTTTGACTATCAGCTGCTCTTTGGGGCGATGCCTTTATGAGTGGGTCCCTTTTTTGCTTGTGCATGTGCATAATGATGCTAATGCATCCTGATGTTGGTTTCACGCCATTCTACTGGCTGACAGTTGGTGACACCAATAGTAAGAAATACAGCAACAACAGCAGTAAATAGCTGCTAACAATCAGACAAAGGTGGAAACAATGCAGGATTTAAATCATTTTTATAAATTGGCCTCTCGAAGTTTCTTTAACAGGGAGACAAACAAAAAACTATCTGGTACAACTTAAGGAAACACACAATGTATTCCGATAAGAAACACACAATGTAAACATACATTTTGTTGTTTACTAGAAAACTCCACAGGGCAGCTTTATCCCCCTCCAGACTCTATTATCATGGTGGTACAGGTATGGTCATAATGTTCTGTGTGCAACATAGATTCTTTTCAAACAGGATGCACCCCAGAAAACTTGACCTTGCTTTGCTTAAAGGTCAGATGCAAAGTAGGAACTTTTGCACGCATTGAGTTGGAATTTGACTGTTATAAATATGGCCTTTTCTTTTATAATTGACAGTGGGGGGCCTGCAGTGTTGCAAATACACAAACAAGCTTAGCACTTTCCCAAACCAGTAAATGCATAATCATCTCCCCTGCTACCTTTAACACAAAGACATTCATAGGAATGATGCACCCTGAATAATACATCTTACTTTCTCGTATTGTTTGTGCTCCCCACAGCCCTTGGAGACTCCGCCGCGATCTACTCTGAGATCATGATGTATTTGCTGCTTGTTTTCTTGACCTGCTGGCTGCTGGTAGAGATGGTCTACTGTTACAGGAAGATCTCCAAGTCTGATGAGCAGGCACAGGACACAGCGTGAGTCTCACACAGACAAAAGCATTCAAGGTTCAAGGCTTTTATTGGTCATTACGTACATAGCTACTGTTTAGTTATGATGATGAAAATCTTAGGTCACAGGCTCCTCCAACAGTGCAACACAATAACACAATACAATACATAAATACAAAAAGTAAAATAGTGAAATATGCAAGTGATTGGAATATGATGTATTAGATAAATAATTTCTAAATTGCAGCCGGATGAATGTTATGGATGTTGTTTCAAAGTTCAGGTGTTTAGCAGTCTTATCGCCTGTGGGATGAAACTGTCCCTGAGTCTGGTGGCTTTTGTCCTGATGCTGCGGTAACACCTGCCAGACGGCAGCAGACAGAACAGTTTGTGGCCGGGGTGATGGGGGTCTTTTATAATCCGGAGGGATTTCTTCCTGAGCCGCTGGGAGTAAAGGTCCTCCATGGATTGCAGCTCCGTCCTGGTGATGTTCTGTGCAGTTTTCACCACCCTCTGTAAAGCCTTGCGATTGAGGGCGGTGCAGCTGCCGTACCAGGCCGTGATGCAGCCAGTCAGTAAAGTGTAAGTCGGGGTACCACTGAAAGCAGCTAATTGAAAGACTGCATGTCCTTAAAAGCAGACCTGTTGTTAAAAGCAAACCTATTTTAAAGATTTCCAAATAAATATCTACCAAGTTCTCAATGACGCTCAGCCCAGCTAGGCAGTGAGTTCACATTATGTGTCACCAAGACAGTGTGTGACAAATAAGTGTCTGGGTGTCTGGTTGTTACATAACGTTACATAATTTGTAAAAATATCTGAATGAGTGATTTGTGAGGCAACTACCAGGCAGAGAGTGTAGAACAGAGGAAAGATACAAGTCAGACAATCAGGAAAATAAATCAGTTTATAACCCTACTGTAGAGTAATCTGAGTTGTGTCAGTGTGAAGAAGTGTAAGAACTGCTGACTGCTGTTTCTAACAACCTTTTTACATCAGCGGTGGATTTGCAGCTCCATCAGAAAGCCACTTTCTGTGTCACCTTGAATGAACTGAGAAAGACCCGAATGCCTCTGTGAAGTCATCTCCCACTGGACTGCCTTGTGGCTGGTGAGGGCAGTCAATCCACGTTGAAGACTTTTAAACAGGCAATTTATGTCCCAAAAAAAAAACAATCAAGGATAACACAGAGCACATGTGCTGACGCAGTTATTATGGTTTTGCAAACAAATAATCCTGAGTCCTGCAGTGATTGATTCAATTCCATTATACAGGCGAGGACAAAAAACAACACAATTGAAAACATTTGTGTATAGTCCTTTATTTGTACTGTTCCATACTATAATGCAACATTTCCAGGAACAACTGGATTTTGGTTAGAATTCTTGGAAGAAAATCGATTATCCTGGAAAGAAAACCTTAATTTATGCATTTATTATTTGGTAAAATAGTTATTTGAGTAACTGATAAAAAAAAAAAAAACATGTGTCCACTATTTGATGATTGAATGAAATATAATAATAATTGAAAATATTTAATTTTTTGGTCATCAGTCAAAATAAGTGTTTTCCCCACGGCTCTGTGGTGAACATGTTTCAGTCATGTTTGACATTTTAAGACAAAGCCAATGATCATTAAAGAAAAATCAATAAATGTATCATTGATAATATCTAAGTTGCAGCCCTAGTTAAGACCTGAATCAATGAAACTGAAAAATTAACTGAACCAGCTTTTCTTGTAGATTGGGTCTTACTGCGTTTTTCATTAATGTGTAAGCGGTATGGATTAATTTGTTAAATAACAGTAGTTTTGTGAATTATTCGTAATATAATTGTAATAATTCCTCGAGCAGCATCAAAAATATATTTGCATTTTGTTTATAAAAACAAGTTTGTATAGAGCAAGTTGAAATGAAGTTAAGCCGAAAAAATAAATCTGAAGTTTGAAGTACATGAATAAAAAGTTACAGTGCAGTTTAAGATATGAATAGTTCACACAGAAGTTCCACTTTACTGATGAACACAACGGCTCAGTTTTACGGAGCCCTGGAGGGTTCATTGAGAGAAAAATAAATAAAACGTGGCCACGTTTTACTTTCTCGTTCGCACGAGTTAATACGCACGAGTTAATAAAGCGTGGCCTCGTTTTATTTAAATTGAGGGATTCCTGTCCGTGACTCACAGTATCTGCAGCCCACAGCTGTTTTATAGAAGGAAAACCTCCTTCACTTTATGAAATCTCTGCGGAATCAGTGGCCTGTAGCCTACTACGAAGCAGGATTTGCTATTTACACTATTCATGAAGTAGGCCTATGACGCTGTGCTGTCAGCACGCGTCTCCATTTTTGTGATTGGTCAAATGTTGCTAACCCCGTCCCTTTCAGGTGAACGCGCTCTCAGCCTGACAGAG